GGGGCTGGCTAAGAAAAGAATAACCACTCGGGCAAAGTTCAATCAGATCAGAATAATCAGATGTTTGCTGCCAAACTTCAGTCAGAAACTGAAAATCCAGGTTTTTAGAGAGAACTAAATCACTGAGCAGGAAGGACTTATTGTTAACAGAGCGGGTATTTAACAGAGCCATGCTGAGTGAGGTGGAGGAATCAGAAACTACAGAAACAGCTAGAGTTAGTGGATGTAAATTAGCAGGGTTAGATCCACAGTGTTTATAAAAACCACTTATGGAGGGAACAGGAGGAGAAACCACTGAGGAATGAGGATAAACCAACCTTAAAAAACTTGAACGGATGAACCGCGTCGCAACGCGGCCTGGCGGGAATGCGGAAGTGGCGCTCAGGTCACCAAACAAAGGACAAGAAGCTAGAAGATCGCGCCGATGTTTACTAGATAAACCACGCTTTAAGAGAAGTCTTATTCTCACCTGGATTCCTGCTCGTTTACCTCTTTTCCTCTGACGTTTTCCCGGGACCGGATAAACATTGCTGGAGGCGCGCTGGTTGGGATCGTCGTTAGGATGCACCGATCAGGTTTTTTGCTGCCGATCACCGATACCGATATCAAAGAATGCTGATCACCGATACCGATCACGTGGATTGGCCAGAAATTTTCTACATTATAATGAGTGCTACAAACTACATAATCTGGGAATAAAGGAAATGTAACCTAATCTAAAATGGTCTGTAATAAGGTTGTCCTGGTGTGAAAATTTAACCTCACGGTTATTGTGACCGGATAAACATAGCTGGAGGCACGATGGTTGGAATCGTCGTTTGGCTCCGGGCCAGTGCGCCACTCAGATAAACAAACAGGGAGGTACGTCCTCAGTGCATCTTGGGCGATCGTGAATGAACAGAAGGACAAAAGAGTCTGGCGATCATAGGAGATGGTAGCAGTGGCACTACTGAAGAGGATCGCAGACAGGAGCAAGGTGGAAAAGAGGAGGTTAGTGGAGAAAAGTTGGAAAAAGTGGCCGTGACTGCGGCTAAGCCAAGCACAGGCGCCATCTTGTTACCGACCGAAAGCGGAAAAAGAGTGAGGTGAGTTTTCATTAGTCCCTGCAGAAATAAAACACCTGGAGCAGCAACACTCGTCTGTGTGAGCATGGCCTTCAGAAGGAGGAGAAAATGACCAGTAAAATGCTTACAATCATCATGCTAGATGAGCAGCCTCCTGTGATGGATGACACTGGCCTCTGCTCACTGGGAGCTGCTCTGGATGATAAATAAATATAAATCAGTTAAATCTCACAACAAAGTTTATCTTTTTAACTCAGTTTAATGAATGAGCTCTAAAGATAATCTTATCAGATGATCCTACCATGTGTGGTGTGTTATAGGTGCTCTGCTCTAATCATAAATCCAGGCTTTCCAACACGTTGGATTGTCTTGTTCTGAGACTGAGGTCAAACACGCATGCTGCCTGTTGAAAGTGGCATGCCGCCAATCAGAGAGCCAGAACTGAGGAGTGCAGCATGCTTGCCTTTGGCCATGAGTGTTAACATCAAAGTCGTGTTTGATCTTCTGACATTTCCTGACTGAGCAGGCCATGTTGGTGTGAGTCATCATTTCTTGTGTTGAGTGTTGTTTTTGCTGTGTGAAAACACGCTTTAGGACCAAACCGGTTTATCCCTAAGTTTTTTGCCATGTTTGGGGTCTGGGGTTAGCCTGTAGCTAGCATCTTCTGCCAGTATTTTGTTGTTCTGGACCAGTAAGAAGTTGGTGTTAACGTAGTGTTGTGGAAATTTTATGTCTATTATTTCTTGATCATTGATTCAATCAAGTGAATGTAATATGTATTACTCTATGCCTCTTTGCATGCTCACTTATTTAGACACACCCACACAAGCCACTCACACACACATACACTCTTGACTTCCCACACACGCACGCACACACACACACACACACACAACATATATATATATCTCTCTCTCACTCCCATTTCTTTCTTATCTTTTTGGTTAAATAAAGTCTGTGACCAGATGTTCGGGGCATTTTGCCTCGTGCATAAGCCACAGTTATAACTGGTTGACTTGTCTCATTGTCTCCTTTTCTCTTCGACTACAGGAAATGGGTTATTGATAAACATATTGATAAAATCCCTAACACATAGCAACAACTTGGCCCAGTGTTGGTGCTTCAGCCACCAGGCACCACCTTCTGGCGCATTCACATGGGGATTGGCCCGGCCCAGCCCTGGTAGGTTCATCTGGGTATTCGGTGTGATTTCCACGGTCAGCTGACCTGCTCCCCGGCGGTCACCTTACTGCTGAGCCAGCCCAACACACCCACTACCGACTGACTGACTGGCTGAAATTCTCGCCTACCTGTAGGGGGAGCCTCTGACTGGCCGGTTAAATCAGCCAGCAGCGGCTTCCCCTATCAGCGATTCCTTATCAGTTTGGATGCGGTGGAGTAAACATCTCCTCTGACTGCTGCATGGAACCACCGCTCCACAGCGCGAGGACAGACTGCTGTGAGGAGCACAAGGCAGTCTCAGTGAGAGAGAGAGTAGGAAGCTGTGTGCTTCCTGTCAGAGACTCCAAAAGCAACACTGCTAATGGCCGCCTTGTTTACTGACTTAAGGAGGACACCAAGGACTTCTTTCCTCATCTTTTGCCCCTCCCACATGCTCAGAGACATCAGTGTTCCTGACAAGGCTGTGTGAAGAAAATGTGGCTGCACGGGGGCGGGCCGACCCAACCCGGTCTGGGCTCACCCAGATGTGAAAGTGGCTTTGGAGGCCGGGATACCCTGTATCCCAACATTCCTAAGGGTGGTAGAACTGAGCCAGCTGTCTGATAAAGGGGAACGCTTCTTTTCCCTTATCCACCCTGTAGATCAGACTAGAACGTTGATGAGAACCCGAGGTTAAAGATTCTAATTTTCTCTGTTTGGACCCGAACAGTAAACAGAACCAGAAAGATGCAGGAATTACTGAATTCACTTTACAGTTTGCTACAGTAAAACACTCAGTTTGGACATGAAGAACATTAAAAATGTGTAAATTTGATGGCATATTTAGGATTCGCTGTTCCTGGACATATTAATGGTGCGATCACCACAAAGTTGGGTTCAGACATCTAGAAACTCTTTAAAAGGTTTATTTATCAGACCTTGGTATAAAGTGTTAGGTAACCCTAAACAGAAAGTCAACCAGTCTGCCTCAGAGCAGCACGCTACATCACATCCTGGTTCAGCTGCTACAAATAGAACCCACGTCTCTGGAGGGATCTCTGAGATGGAGATGCAGACGGGAGAGGAGGGCATGTTAGAGATGTGACTATGGAGGGGGGTAACAATGAGAAAATTATACCAATGGAAACGTAACAATAGAGGAGCAACGGGGGACTAGGGGAGGGAGAATGAGATAAACACCAAACAACTAAACAATGGCGGAAGCAAGCCGAGAGTGGAGACCGAAGCCTGAGTGGATCGATACGGCTGAGAGGGAAACATGAGACCGACTGAGAAGGAGGCAAATATCCCAGGATGTCTGTCTTGGTGGCTGATCCGACCTGAGAGGCAGCCAGGTCACTGACATCTGCTTCAAGGCAAAATGCCTCCAGTGAGATAATTTCATCTAGAGTTTTCCAAACGTTCCCAACACCAGAACCAGTTTGTGATCTGATGGGTTAGGGGTGGGGGGTGTGGGGTGTGGGGGGTGGGGGGTAAACAAAAGTGTGACATCACTCCAAACCAGAATGAAAAAGATCACCCAATAAAACAAGCCCACATAGATGGACCCGTGAGAAGGGCTTCATGTTTAAGGTGTATTTAAGCACACACACACACACACACACACACACACACACACACACACACACGCACGCACGCACGCACGCACGCACACATGCACACACACACGCGCACACATGAACACGCGCGCACACACACAAAAGACTGAATGTCTGATCGTTGCCCCAAGAGCATGTTTCCCCTGTGTGCATGTATGTGTGTGTGTATGTTTGTGTGTGTGCATGTGTGCGTGCATGTGTGGGAGTGTGCGTGCAAGTGTGTGTGTGCATGCGTGCGTTCATGTGTATGCGTGTGTGTGTGTGTGCGTGTGTGTGTGTGTGTGTGCCAGTAAGAGGCTACATTTTGAGCTGACCTATTTCTGGACATTCTCCTAAGCCCACATAAAAATTTCATGTCTGTGTTGTCCTGTCTCCCTCACACACACACACACACACACACACACACACACACACACACACACACACACACACACACACACACACACACACACACACACACACACACACACACACACACACACACACACGCATGAGTAATGAGGCTCAAGTACACAGCGCCCCAGAGAGTTACTGTTTCTGGACCATAAATAACCTGACAGCTGATCTAATTATTTATTACATCTGGTCTCTGATTGGCTGAAACACCTTTAGATCTGATGACACCTCAAAGGTAGAGATGAGTGACTGTTGTGTTTTTATTAAGCAGAGAAAGGGTAGAACAGGAATCATCACGAATGATATCAGCTGGTCCAAACCCAGTAAGATGATGGAGCAGCTGAACGTTCAGGTAACGCTACGTTTATGATGACTGAGAAATCCACCTGTCTGAGGAGCCCTAACCCTACAGGTAACCTCTGACCTCAGGTAAAAACTCACCAGCAGGAGCCTTTATGTGAAGACACGATGATATTTATTATTGGATCCCTTCACTTTTATTAGAATGATTAATGCTTCAGACCTGTCTAAACACGGGAGTCTCTGTTTATTTATTCATCATCTATCTACAGACCATGATGGGTCACCACCGTGTCTCCACTTGCCTCAGAATCAGGTGGACAGGTAGGCCTACAGCATTTACTCATGTTAGACGTAGAAATAACATAAATAACCTGCTTATTTCCTACAGGTGGAGCTCCATCACCAGTGAAGACACTGAAGTCAGACTGGGACCCAGAACCAGGTGATCCGGACTTACCTGAGCCCAGCGTGCTGCTGCACTGCCAGCTGTCCAGGCTCGCGGGCTTCCAGCAGGACTCCCACAGGGACAGGTGGTATTGGTCGTCGGCAGTGACCCACGCCGGACTCATCACGGAGCCCACGTCCAGGCAGAGTGCCAGGAAGACGCACAGCAGCCCGACCACCTTCAGCGGGGTCAGCGGGGAGGCGCGCGCTGCCTCGTCCGTCTCGGTGACAGCGGAGGACATGGCGGGGGTTCGGAGGGCTCAGAATCCGGCCGGAGAACGCATTTGACGGACAGAAGAGGAGAGGAAGGAGACCGGGTTGGGAGCTGGTGAGGCAGCCGCTCTGGTGCGCGCTGGACGGACGCTGCGCCAGTGGGCACCGCTGCTGCCGTGGCGGACATCTCCAATGCTCGGTGCTGACGTCAGAGGCTCCAAAGGAGCAGCATGAGCAACAAGGTCCTAGAGAGAGAGAGAGAGAGAGAGAGAGAGAGAGAAGGGGGGGGGGGGATGAATCCAAAGCATTTTTATTTAGACGTGAACAGAACTCAAGGTTCCTGTAACATAAACACCAGCTGGTACTGGGCGTAGTCGGGTCAGGAGTCCCTAATGCTAAAACTTTATTTATAATTACATCTGATACAAAGACCTTGTTTATAATAAGCAGCAATGAAGTCCCTCCATGACACCCGCTTCAGATCGGGTCGCTCCGGGTCAGACGACTCCCTCTCATACATCCTCTGAAGGTATTCCCTTCATATGTGACTAAACCACCTGTTTGTGTAAGACAGGTGTATCCAAGGTGAGGCTCAGGGGCCGAATGTGGCCCTAAGTATAATTTCTGATGAACGGAAGCTGACATAGTGATGCGTTCTTACCTTTTATCCTCAGTTTATTACCAACGTGTCTGTCGAGCACAAATAAATCATAAAACCATTAAAGTACGTTTCAATTCAAAAAGAGCATTTTCGTAAACAGCAAGGACTGTTAGCGAGTTATGACAGTCCTGACTATAACTGCCGGCGGTGCTCAGGTGAGTAACGCACTACCTGGTGCACCACAGCTTCAGTCACCTGTAATCTCATTTGGGATTTATTACAAAACACATTTAACCCAAAGTCATTTTAAAGTATATTTTATTATTCATGTGTTACGGGTGTGAACATAGTTTATATATATATATGTGTGGCTTAAGGCAGCTTACGAGCAGGAAGTAGCAGGTCCTGACGGGATCAGACCCAAACTCGTGTGTGTGTGTCTTCTCCATCCCCAGTGAGTCATGGTGGATGGCTGCTTATACTGAGCCAGGATCCTCTGGTGGTTTCTTCCTGTTAAAAGGGAGTTTTCCTCTTCACTGTCGCTGCATGCTTGCTTAGTATGAGGATTGCTGTAAAGACTCTGACACTAATCAGTGACTTGATGCAATCTGCTGGGTTCCTTATATAGGAAACTTAATGACCTGTAATGTTTACTGTGTGAAGGTCCTTGAGACGACTCTGGTCCTGACTTGGTGCTTTATTAATAAACTGAATTGAACTGAACCAGAACCCTCCTGTTGAAGGACAAGCACCCATGCATAGGTCTATATGTGAGCGACTGATGGATGGGCGGAGATGGCCTTGTTTACATTCAGAGAGGACAATATAAAGGGCTGATTGAGGGAAAAAATGAAGGAAGTCGAGGAGCAAAGATGAGGTGGTGAAAGGCTGGTGGTGTCATGGAGACATGAACTGTTGGTTCAGATGGGCAGCTGGGTACTGAAGCTCTTCGTTATACCGACCTTCTGAATGACCTCACCAAAGCAAACATTACAGACAACAGACTGTAATAAAAGGACAAACTAATCCATCCATCCATCTTCTGAACCTGCTTGTCCACGCAGGGTTGCAGGGGGGTGCCTATGTCCAGGCGGGGTACACCCTGGACAGATTGCCAGTCCATCGCAGGAAAAACGAAACCGATTATTCTTTATTGTACTAAATGACTTCCCGCTACAGCGTGTTTTAGATCTCAGACATCTTGTTCAGGCTCTGAGGATGCCTACACCTCCTGCCTGACGGACGAAGGGTCCTGGTCCATTTAGATGTTCTTCTCAGATTTAACATCTGCTGGTGTGACAGAGTTAAAGAGAAACAATCACAGACGTCAGGATCTTTAAAGGTGTTTTAACATTTATTTCATAAAAACTTAAAGGTGTTTATGTTGATGTATCCAACAGAGCCACATTCAGGTGTGTGTTACCTGTTGAAAACTCACCTGTTCAAGCTGGCTTTGGTGGGACCTTCATCACCACCCTCTCCTTATTCTGTTATTATTCCGCTCCGAACCGTTCTCTGAATGTTGTTTCAGCTGTCATCAACGATATAAATATTACAGATACAAAATACGTCATTGATGCTATAGCTCACCTAGTAAGATGTCTCTCGTGCGGAAGACCCGGGTTTGATTTCGGGTGTGAACATAGTTTATTTAGAATTTATTTTTTACATTAATGGTATATTTTTTACAGTAAGATGCCCAAATGTTTATTTGAGACTCGCCGAACGGCATTGAATTCACAGATAAAAAAGATGTGGGTTCAACTTTCATTTTGGAACAATTTTTCAAGCAAGGGAAGGGAATGATCTGAGCGTGCAGGAGGACTGACCCATCTTAAACCTTTGTCGGCTGTGCTGAAGAGAAAGGTACAGAACCAAAGTATTTAATTAATTAGCTGCGCATTCTCCTGTCCTCTGGGCCACACACACACACACACACACACACACACACACACACACACACACACACACACACACACACACACACACACACACACGGGACTGTCTCAGCTGTTATTTTCGTTAAGGAGTGTGCACGTACAGCATGCGCGCCTCGTGCACGAGTCTACTATTGAAGCTGCCGTTACGCTTTTGGCCTGAGGGGGCAATCGCAAGCATGAAAATTCAAAACTCCCTAAAGTCCCTTTAAGAACAAGAGGTAGGGTCTAAGGTTATGAAGTGGAAGTAGGGTCTAAGGGGTCTAGGGTCTAACTTTTCTCATTTTCTGAGAAGTTCCTCCCTCTTCCATCCTTGCTGTGCTTGGGCTGGTGCGGTGTTCAGCAATGAGCTTGTTTCCTTGTGAACGCTGTAGCGTACCAAAAGGCCAAGTATTTCATCAAAGATGACCAGGCCAGACTCCTTCATACGGGTGAATCTGACACTGCGGTGCTGATGAGGAGACGAACTTCACTAATCCTGCGTACTTCATGATTCCTCAAGGCTGCGAGACACAGGACTTCTTCTACTCTCTGAATAAAGTCCATCTCCCCTGACATAAATGACTTCAAAACTTCATATAATCCTATTTTCGTGAATGAACAACGTGTTTACATCCAAAGTGTTTGAATAATGAGGCCTATACTTTATATTAATGCACGATGGTTAAAAAGAATATTTTTCCTGTCATGATTCATTTCAGATCTTAAATGACACCAGATTAGTATTTGTTGATTTTAATGTTAAATCTATCAGTATATACACACCTTATAATGTTATTATTAATGTTTAACATGTGTGCTTCACACTAAGAAATAACCTCTCTAAGTTTCCGAGGGAAAAGGGATCTTCTGAGGTATTTTGGTAACGCCTTTTAAAACTTGTCAACAGTTAATAAAAACAGAGATCACTTCCTGATCTAGTCAGTTGTCCGCCGTCTCCCGGCTCTGCAACGCTGGCGAGTGTATCAGATGCTAAATAGCTTCCTGCCGTCACCTGCAGCAGACGGGTCGTACTCGGAGCTGATCTACGGGTTACCCAGGGCTACCCAGAGGTCCACTCTACCGGCAATGTCCATACCGACCTCTTGACCCCCTGGATCCCCCTGGATCGCACAAGTACATTCAACACAAAGGAACCATAGATCTTCACACTGGCTTAGGATGGTTTTCTGAATAATCTCTAGCTTAATAAACCATACAGTCAAACTGATTTTACAACCCAGACATCACAGGATCTCTCAGATACTTAAGGTTTTACTACAAATGTCAAACTCACATTCCATCATTTCATTCATACTCTGTCATGTATAATCATTAGTTTAGAAAACAGATTTACATTCATTTTTATAACTATCCTCCACTCTGTCTGAATTATAATGAAGTGTGTGTGTTTCCTGAATAGTCCAAACAACCTAAGGTAATATTAAATCAAACATTTAAAGACCAATCAGATTGATAATTCATATTTATATAGAATATCACATCTTATTGATCATTTAATAAATGCAGCTAATGGATACGTCCAGGTCTGAGTTGCTGCACTCAGCTTTACATTGACTTAGCTAAGTCAGACCGAGAGTTAGGACTGGCTTAAGTTAGGACCAGCTGATGCACGCCGCTCCAGCTCACAGACCCAGAAGCATCTGACCATGACTGGAACATGACTGTGCTCATTTTCCAGGAGGTAGATCTGTAAATTTCTTTAAAGTTTGCTACACATAAATCTGGTGAAAACGGGAGCAGATGGCTTGCTACTCAGCTGGAACCGTTTGTTCCTTCAGGCCACAAACTAATAAACAGAAATACTTGGATTTGCATATCAGCCTGCAGTGCTGCTTTATTTTTAATGCAACCTTCCTTTGGTGGAATTATACAGCCTTTGTCGTTATTAATGTAAGGGACGGGGCTGTTGGTTGGTTTTCACTGTGACTGATGTCTCTACACGGCTCCCACTATCTGGATGTTAGAACGATTCCTCACAGCTGCCTAACGCTGCCCTTGGGCTGGGACATGATCGCCTCTGTTTGGACTCAAATCAAGGTTGGAAATGCACAAGATATCTCCTGCAAACTTTGTTTTCTTCTGAATGTGTAATGGTGGCTTTTTATTACTGAGCTTCATTAACATATTTCATTTCCTGCTGCTAAGCATCCTCCAGCTCTCGGTCTGTCTCCGCCGACAGAGACGAGACGAGACGCAGGTGCTGGCTCAGGATAACGTCATGAGAAATGAGAACAAAACACACAACAATACCTGCTAATCAGTCAGACAGATACTTGTACACCACCACCAGTCAGGGGCGGGGCTTTAGGGACTGCAGGAGCCACACAAACACAAAGAACACAGTCTTATGTGTCCTTCAGACACAAAAACTGCTCCTTTAGACACTCAGAGGAACAGACGGTGATGGTTTCTCCAGCATCTTGTCTCCCATGACTCCTCATGTGACACCGCTGGTTCTTCAGGAGGCCGCAAGGAAGATGAAAGCATGCCAGCATGACGTTATCCTGAGCCTGCTCTCTCTCTCCACACGTCTTCTGTCGTTTCACCAGAGGGATGAGTGATGGATCACGCAGCAATAATTAGATACGATTTGTAAGTGGTTACTTTTAACAAATGGTCAATAGAACATAAACGTGTTCAATAAAATGTAATGTTCCATAAATATATGGATTATCAGTATGATTGGTCCTTTA